TTTAGCAGTCTATTTATACAGATCGTCGTATTTACTGAGATATCGATCCCTTTAACCTCTTGATAATATCACTGAAATCATATCATTGCTCTTTTCATCACAATTATACGAAAATCACCACACTTCTCCTAAACTACTGTGAATAAAGTACCAAGTGCATTAACTGTGTCGTACTTCTATAAGCTTGTAACTTAATAAGAGCAGTCGAAAAGTTCAAAATATGGAACCGCTATCGATAACACCTCTTTGATATGGCTTTGCTAAGTAATCACCACCTTATCCTTATTTAGTGAAGATATGATACGCGTCAGGTTGAACATAGGTGGTAATTGCGTTTTGGTGTTTTAAGTTCATCGGCGAGGTCTATCGATTTCACCCTGTTTACTCTCTCAACAATTTTGTTTATGCACGTCATCGTTGAAGACAGCAGTGGTTCCATTACTTTCTGTGTGTTCCGTAACCGTCAGAATTCATAAGGATTTCAGCAACATGAGTTCTGAAAGATTCTCTGCGAATATTGTTCTCAGCAGTTGTTATATAACAACTGATATCTTAATATCTTCATCTTCATATCTTATCTGATATCTTATCTGTTAACTTCAAGATAGAATCCGCAAAAAAACTAGAGATGAAGGGCTAAATAGGTGCGAACAACATCAAGTGGGGGGCCTACCAATAGCACCATTTCCCCCGACGTTTTTTAGACAACAAGAGCCCAATAATGAAGTTGATGTTAAATTTCGGATGTTTGCGAATGAAACTCTCAAAGTCCTTAATCACTATCACGCGAAAAAATACAGCTCAAAACTCACTCCAGTGCAAAAACGTGGTATGCGAGAGGTACGAGAGCTGATAAGGTTGAAAACCATAAGACTTTCCGTTAGTGATAAGGGTGGAGAGTTTGGCGTAATTCCTCATCAGTTGGATGTGGAGTTAACGAACAAGCATCTTGAGGATGCTTCGCTTTATCGCCCATCACCTGAGGAGGAATTCAGAAGTAAATACCGAAAACTAAACCACGAATGGGCCAAAATGGCAAGGGCTGCTGGTTTAAAACCATCAGTTATCTCTCAACTTAGAGTTGCCTTACCAACATGCCCCGTCTTGTACTTACTTATAGAAACTCATAAGTTAGTATCCAGCGATGATCTTGCGTCTAACGATCCATCACTATTTAAGGTTAGACCTATCATTAGCTGCGTAGACGGGCCAACAGACAGGATAACATGGTTTTTAACCCTAATATTTAACCAGTTGTTGAAACACATTCCAGCCCATCTTACGAATACCCAGATGTTTCTGGATCGTCTACGTACTGCGCAGCCCAACAGCGCGTGCGTGATGGAGTCCTTCGACGTTACCGCCCTTTATACAAACGTGTCGAATGACTCCGCAATGCAAGCCATATTCGAACTCCTTACACAACACGAAGGAGAAATAAACATGTATGGCTTCAGGATAGAGCACCTGATGGCACTCTTAAAAGAATGCTTGAGCTGCTCAATCTTCAGATGGTCTGGAAAGTACTACGCTCAAATAAGAGGGTTGGCAATGGGACAACGACTGGCTCCAAGCCTTGCCATTGCATTTATGTCTAAGGTGGAAGCACCGGTGACTGATCTCGGGCCGCTACTCTACTGTAGGTATGTAGACGACTGCTTTGTCCTTTGCTCAACACAAGAGGAAATGGACAAATGCTTCGAATTGTTAAACGCACAGTCAGAGTATATCAAGTTCACCCAAAAAAGCCGAAAGAAAAATGGCTTTCATTTTTGAACGTACAAATTCACCTATCAGAAAATGGCTACATTACGAAGTGGTACCGAAAGCCAAATAGTAAAAACATCTTGGTTCATTACCTCTCTTCTCACCCCTCTCACACGAAAAGGGCGCTTATAAGAAACATGTTTCGAACAGCAACCAATATGTGCACGGGAAGAGAGCAGAGAAAGGAGTCCCGGAACTTGACACGGCAAATAGCCATTTCTAATGGCTACGAAACTGTAGCTCAGGATAGGTGTAGAGGAAATCGTAGGCCTCCAAACGACAACTCTAGCGATAGAAGGGTCCCGTTTATCCTAACCTTCATCTCAAATGATATAAGTACAGCTATAAAACGCTGCTTAAGAAGGGCGGGCTTAGAGAATTCGGTGAACGTAGTTGAAATACCACCGAGTAATCTTAAGCGCCAGCTAGTTCGTAACCGCCTATATGACCGTCTATGTGCAAACTCAAAATTGCATAATTTGCCCTAGTGGTAGAGACGGTGATTGCATGAGCTCGGGTATAGTTTATCCGATCTCCTGTAAGACGTGTGGTGACGAATACATTGGCGAAACGGGTAGACCCCTCTGTGTCCGCATGAAAGAACACCTAGGCGGCAAAAATAGACCAAATACCCCGCTAGGCACGCATAGGACCCAGAGACAAAACGGGGACGACTTCGAAGTACGTGTCACGATCCTCGCACGCGAATCAAGAACACAGGCGCGAAAAACTCTCGAGGCACCCTGGATTAATCCCAGAAATCTGAAAATGAACCGCAGGGAAGAGTGCCTCATTATCACGCGTGATATAGGGCAGTATATAAAACTGCTTTTCTGATGTGAAGGGCACATTATACTTCCACGTGATTTCTGTGCGGTTGGTCTCTACGTGACATACTTAGTGGAAACCTCATAGAAAGCGGTGAGTGTGCAAAACTGTATTCAAAGTGATTGAAATCTTGGTTTGGGGTTTCTTTGTTTGGTTATGGAGGCGTCTGGCCGAGTAGACTGCTGTCAACTTGACCTTTCCAGGCTCTGAGGAAGACGAAGTCCGCCAAAACGTCAGCTTGTTCGTGAATAAGGAATAATAACACCTCGCGTTTGCTCAACAAAAATACGAAAATAATTACTTGATCAATGCCGAGGTTAATAGAAATTCGGTCGTGGCAGTTACAACTGATATCATTACCATATAACTAATTGATGGAATCGAAAAATCTAATCCACCCAAAGGTTTACCTCCTCATCTTGGCTGGCAGGTGTTCCTGCGCGTCGTAGTGCGATGTACTGCTGGGAATTCGTCCTCCCGGCAGAGTCTTCCAAGCTGAGAGGGGGTCCGGCGTTTCCATCAGGAAGCCTGACTAGGAGTAAACCAATACCAAGATTCACCACCGTCCTGGTATCAAAGTCGTATGGTAGTAAATCTCCCTCTAATCCACAAAGGCTGCGACTGTCTGTAGTAGTCAAGACCTGGGGCAGACTTTTGCCGGGCTGACCTCAGGGTTCCAGGGAACCACAGTGGTTAGACCAGCAAGTGCGTGACGAAATGGAAATTATGCTGGTGCCCGAGCAAACATCGAAAACGGGCTATCAGAGTATCCAAGTATGAAAGTAAGAACACGTGTAGTCCCACCCACAACAATAGGGCTCAGAGGAAGTCGAAATCGCTGAAACGTTCTACCATCAAACAATAACAACAACAACTTGTCCGAACCTTGCATCAGCTCATCAACGGCGGTTCGTAAGAACATATAGACAAATGTAAGTAATTGGTGCAGTATACTCTACGGCTGCAGCATTTTTATACCGTTATCAATACACTGTATTATAAAACGTTATGCTTCTATCAAAAAGAAGGTTTTCTATGCTGTAAAGAATTTTCATGCGGCATATAATTTCAAGGCCTGGGGTGAGATCGGCAAGGAGAAGCCGGAGAAGCCATTCGGGTACAAAACAACAGAAAAAACGCTAATTTTCGGGTTTTTCGATTCGGAAATCAGCTGTCAGCGTGGAGATAGGAAGACCTCACACAGTCGGGTGGGGTGGGCGGTAGGAGCCGCTATCAAGGCAGGGCAGTCTAACGGCACCTCTCAGGATATTAGGCAAGACAGTGCATCCTTTTATCACACACTGTTGTAGGCTTCCCAAGGGAAAGCAACTTTGTATAGATTTTTTTTACTCTACAATTTTTTATTTGCACATAGTACAATAGTTTCATTCTAAAAATATATAATGCAAAGCAAGCACGGAGAAATCGTACCGTTTTTTTGCACTTTTTTAAGTAAAAGGGTCTGGCGATGATGGACCTAAGGTCTGCCATAATTTCTCTACTTCACAGTCTTGCTCGAATTTCTTATTTTGTCCCATTTATTTTTTTCGTCTTCGATTTGTTCACGCAACGAGTTTTTCATCCTGCACAAAAAAGTTTCTTCGAGTGACGACAAATCTGACGAATGTATTAATGAAACTGGTTTTAGATCCATCTATCACTCTTCCGGATCACTGACGTTATTGGAAATGACCTCACCATATCAAAATCATAATTGGATGTGGGTTGTAACTTTATATTCATATGAAGAACCTTATGAAGTGTAGTATTACTGTCTACATTTGCGTTACACTAATTTTTTTGTGGGACAAATAATAGGTTAGAATTTTCAAATGTAGACGGAAAGTAGAGCACATCTATGGTGTCCATTTCACACTGAAGGTATATCATCTTACGTGAACCCTGTGAGGAATTTCGCTAATTTTGAGATTTTTTCAATCGTCTCAATTCTTGTGTTTCACAACCTTCTTTTGGGAGCGCAATAGTTAGTTCAAACCCTTTTGTTAACAATCTCTAAGTTATCACTGGCGTTGTAACGTCATTATTTTCGATACTAGGGTCCGTGGATAGTGTTATGCTAGTGGTGCCATTTAATACGCGTAAGGGCGTGGCTCAACCAGACACTGGGGCAAAGAATGCTGTCATACCTGCTGAGTCGGAAATTTGGCACCACACTTGTCTGAAATCAGCCATCACCTCCAATTATCGTTAAAAATGCTCACCATACACGACTGATCCAGATTTCCAAAAAGAATTGACTCGACCAGCATTCAACGACATTGGTGAAAAAGGCGAAAAAATCCTCAAATAGCAGCCGAAGCAACGTGCAAAAAGCTCGAAGACGGAATCCGCACTATACGTGATGTCGGGGCGAGCAAGAGAAGAAGATCGCATTTTTTTTACATATGAAGAAATGGGATTGGTGTGGTCACATCTCATTGCTAACCATCCACTACGGTGACGTGCCAGCTGAGAAGTGAAGTTCTTCAGTCTGCAGGCGGTGTTTTATGTCGTGAGGTGCTTGGTTTGCTTCTTTGCTTTTAATTTACTTCGCCATATAAGCATAGCTGTTACACGGCAGTGCTCTATTAACAGAGCGTTAGATAATATTTGTAAGTAACGTGATATGAAATGACAAGTTTCCAGAGGCGATGACGATTTCCATCATTCTACACAGCTGGAGCATCTATGCCACCTCGACATTTCCGATGTTCCATCAAAACATCGAAAGACTGGAATCATTTGTACCATAGGTAATCGTTGCATCTAAAGGAACTTTCTAGCTTTAAACGGAAATACTTTTCGGATAACCAGTTAAATCAGGTATAACAACTATTTTTACTTGAAAAACAAGACACTGAAGTATTTCAGCTGCAGCCCACTGAAGTTCTCGTAAGGATAGGGCTGGATTTATTTTTCTTTTCAATTAATGAATTTTCAGGACCAGCCTGCAATACCGTTGAAATGTTGCATGAGATGATAAAACACGGCCTAAATATTGCTAGACTAAATTTTAGCCACGGATCACATGAGGTGTTTTCTTAATGATAACTTATAATCTGCTCAAATATTTTGAATCGTCACCGGCAAAATTTTTTTCATTTCGAAGAAAAAACTAGCGAAATTTTTTTAAAATATCAATTACAAAATATGGTATCGTTAAGGAACACGCGAGAGCTATAGAGACAATTAGGGCAGCAGCAATGGATCACATCGACCCCGTGGCTATCGCGCTCGATACGAAAGGTCCTGAGATTAGGACTGGCCGATTGGCGGGGGTTCGTTCATTGTGCTCGATCTATTTGTTTGTTTGCTAAAAGTACTTTTCCTTCACATGTTTATTTAACGGCGTTCGTTACCAGATCAACTATTAACTTGTTAAGCAACTGTTTTTAATGTACCGTGTTTTACGGCAGGATTCTGTTTGATTAGACGACGACAGAAGATCAGCGTACTGATCTTTGTCACCATCGTTTATCACCACCGTAGGTGTTTACTGTGGCTAACCGATAACAATCGGCACTGGATAACCTGAGACACAGATCGAGTAAAGTGGCAATGGCGTTGCGTAATTGGCCAGATCGGATGCAATGCCGACCTTATGCAATCTGGTGAATCGATAGGAAAGTCGGCACCGATCACCACCCATGGATACAACTCTACTTTTTGATAAAAATTTTAAATAACATTCTTTTGCCTAGTATTTGATGTTACCCAATGTTGAAAATTTCCTTAAGAATTGCGAACGTATATAAACGTAGGAATAGTTGAAAGAAAATAGGCGCATTCACAACGTGCAGAAAGAATCGATTAATGTCGCACAAATCGCAATAATAAGCTCGCTCTTGTCAGTTATGATAGGAGCAAGAATGCGATCACATCTTTCTATCTCTGCAGCGCTAAATGTAACCCATGAGAGCTGCCGTGGTACTAGAACGACCCGTATGAATTAATGTATTGTGCAACGGTAGAAAACCTGCGTGTCCTCCCTTTTACATCTGTAGTACACATGTTTTGCGTAAGCGAAATAATCTTTAAAAATTGTCCCTAGATGTGATGAAATTCAAAATAACTCGCTGCTTAGAACAATCAAATCACATGTCGTTCACTTCATATTAGAGTGACTCGAGCAGACGCGAACAAATTTTCCATTTCTCCCCGCCATCTGCAAGAGTAAACCAGGAGCAAGAGTAGAGTAAAGAGGTTCTGCTGCTTCTACAAAATCGCTGAGTAACATATTTTTATTTTTGAAATCTGCAGGGATCTAGCCGTAAAAGCTCTTGTCTTATTTGTCACAAGCATTTTTCTGGGTTGAACAAATCGATTGTGGCACTATTGAGAGGATAAAAACACCGACTCAACGCATAGGTAGGCCCAGGAAATCACATAGGCCAATTACGCATTCTCCTAAAAAACACTATATAGGCTAAATCCGTATCCAAATTTGTTTACGAAATCATGCTGAGATAACCATTATAGCGCAGAGATATTTGCAAAACTGCGGACCGCTTGTATCTGCAGCGGGGACCGAACACGTTATTACACTTTCTGGGGCTAACGCGTTCAACAACATACCATGTGAGTCCTTCGTTTCCCCTCTCTCAGCCGTGTTGTTGGCACATAGGTGCTGTCAGCAATCAGCCGTCAAGATCGCTGGTCTGGGAAGCACAAGTTGGCCTTGTTCCCGGCTAAGCTGGATCTGTAGTGTAAATCACAATGTCAGTTTTTATCTACTGCCTAGCATTTTTTTAATGGCTGCGTGTTATGTGCACATATTGTTACTACAATGGTGCTGAGATATTTGGAAAACCCCGGGCCGCTGGTGTCTCGGCGGAAGCCGAACACATTACATTACGCTTTCCGGTCGTCGTGGGTCAATAACACGGCTGAGAGAAGGGCGAAACGAAGGATTCGCATGGTGTGGCAGTGAACGCATCACCCTCGGGAAGGGTAACAGTGTGTTCGGTTTCCACAGCAGACACCAGCTGTTTGGAGTTTTGCAAATATCATTGCATAATTATGTTTACATAATGTTTCACATAATACCCTGCCATTAAAAAATAATAGGCAGTAAATAAAAATTGACGTCATTATGCTGAAATATTTACAAAACTCGGAACCCCACTTGGTCAAAAGGCGAAACTACGGCCTCGGTGGTGCATATAACACGTGAGTCTCCCGAAAGTGTCATCGCAGGTTCGAAGCTCATCTAGGGTTTTAAATTTTGAAAATATCTCAGCATCACTGTGGTTGCAGGTGACATAATATGTAAAAAAAAATAGGCAGTAATTAAAAGTTAAATGTTGTGGTTTAGGCTAGTTTTCTTCATGATTGACCTAACATGGGGTTGATAAAGAAACTTTCATTCGAAAAGCGTTCCTGCTCTTCCACCTTCTTCAGAGCAGCATTAATCCGAGTCGATGGCTTTAAAGTTTCTGTACCAGCCTCGTCTTAGCTCAGTCACGTAAAAAAATTATTGGTTACTGTTGCAGAGGTATAACCAAAGTCGGTATCTAAGATACTTTGCGGTACTGCATGAAATTTAACAAATAGGTTGATCAACACCGAACGCTTTAGATTCAACCTTCCAGAGTGTAGCTTTTTGTAGTAGTCTTTCAAAAGCTTCGAAGCTTAGCTGCTTTTGGTTTTACCAATATTTACAGAGACGTTAACTGAAGTGAAAGGTATTTATAGAAGAACACCATGGGTCTAAGTGGTACGCACGTTTTGAACACAAATTTGTAACTAGTGGAAGAAAAGAAGTGGAGATTCAGAGAGAGTTGCTATGAGACTCTTGCGAAATAGTGATTCGGCCTCTTAATATTGTCTGCCACTGTCTAACCGTTGTTTTCCACAAAGAGTTACACGCCAAAAAAGAGAACCATGGAAAAGTGAAGAGACTGTTTAACCTGCCACTGAAGTCGAACTGTGATAGCGACACACTTGACTGTACAGAACTACTAGTGAAACACTTCATGAATTGAGTGAACCAACTTCGAAAGCGCTTATTTTTCTACCTCATAACGTCGACTCTCAAAAGACACAAAAGTTCTTGATTGTTAAGGGAACTGAAGTAGAACTGCATCGAGGGAACAGTATTCTTGTGTCCAACGATCCAGCGCTGGAAAATTATTGCACAGCCACCACACTGTACATCGATTACAAAAATCTACCTCGTGTTCTTAAGAAGGTATATACAACCTTAACATTATATTATTACGAGAAAATATCAAGATAAAGCGATGCTTTAGATACGAGAGTTCTGATTAAAAAAGTGCAAGAAGGTTGCTACGTCTGGACAAATAAGAAGTTTTACAAAAATATTGCGGTCTTTCAGGGTTCCCGCATCTTTATCGATGACGGTTTGATTTCACTAGTTGTCGAAGACCTCACGAAGGATTCAGTTTCGTGTATAGTGGAAAATGGTGGCATGCTCGGCAGTCATAAAGTAAGGAACATCTTCTATTTTATTTTAAAAGCTTACTTCACTTTTTTCTAGGGCGATTTTGTAATGAAATGCAGAAATTGTCGGATTTTTGCATAAGCTGTCTTCCTTCCGCCTTATTCTGCAAAAGATCAAATTCACTTTACTTTCTGGCTGTTTGAATTCTCTGAACAACGTAAATCTTCTGCATTGAATTTTCAAGGAGAACACGATAGGAATTACATATCTCAACGAAATTGATAGTCATCGTGGTTATGCGTGAATTTGAAGCAAAGATTTTTCCAGTCTTTCTCCTTGCTATAGGTTTTCTTTTCTGGAAACTTCTATTATCACTTTAGAGTAAAATCTTATTCAGCTTTGTTCATAATTTACAAAATTCCGCGTTGTAGATGATCTGTGCTAGTTCCTTCGTTGCTATTAGTAATTAATTACTATTTAGGTATTGATGCGAAATACAACCACAACCACACACTCATCACCACACCATGCGGCTCCTTCATTGGTATGGTGGTGAACGCATTAGCCCTCGGAAAGGCTAATAGCTCGTTTGTTTCCCACCGAAGACACCTGCGGTCCGGTGTTTGACAAATATCTCAGCATCACTGTGGTTGTATTTCGCATCATACCTCCCCGTGAAAAATTAAAGTAGGCAGCAGATAGAAGTTAGCATTATTATTTGGGTAGTTCAGTTATAGGTAAAAAATAATTTTGATCGATTTTATTGCATGGTTGCAAAATTGATTATAAAGAAAATTGATCGCACTGTAGATGATTACCCGTGGAAATGTTTCCAAGAACAGTTTTAAGTTTCATGTTGAGCTGCGATGCTTTGAGTTGATTCTTGAGAAGCTACACACATTTGCGCCTTCATAAACTTAGGAGTCTGGTTCTATTGCGAAAAGAATTACTTCTAGTATTTTAAAGTCTTCTCGCCTGCAATAGTACTTTATACTCTTTCACGGTCCTGCAGATTGTGGTTTTTTCACGTTACCTCAACGTATTTCAGGGTGTCAATCTTCCCGGAACGATAATTGATTTACCGGCGGTTACGGAACGGGACAAGGCCGACTTGCTGTTTGGTGTTGAACAGAACGTGGACATGATTTTCGCCTCGTTCATCCGCAGTGCTGATGGCATTAAGGAAATACGGGAAATTCTCGGAGAAAAGTAAGCTTATCCTTGATCACTTGGCGTTATTTGTCATTTTCTTGACCACAAGCTCTAATTTTGATTGTGTACCAATGTTTTTTGCTTTTAAAATGTCTAGCCTACATTCACCACGCGATAATAAAATTATCCCTCTGATGGAGAGTTACACACTATGAAGCTGGATTAGTTTTTCTATAGAAATAGACAGTCATCGAATACGGTTGTAACTTAAGACGACGACGAGGAATCAAAGGAAAACTACGCGTAGATGTTTTTAGTTAGAGTTAAAACATTTGAAACCTCTATGGGAAATAAACTCACTTAGTCACTCACATTTCTGTTGGTTTTTGTCTCTCAAAAACTGAAATCGAGCAAAAACTAAAACAAGAGTAAAGGAGGGTCCAAGTAACCACTGGCAACGTCAATGTTTTCTAAAAGAAAGATTAGTTACTGTTCGACACACTTATGTCGATTTAAAATGCGACCTCTAACGCTTCGGAATAAATGAGTGCACGAATATTGTTGCTTCTTACAGAGGAAAGAACATCAAAATCATCGCAAAAATCGAATGCGAAGAGGGAATGCTCTATGCGGACGAGATCATTGCTGAAGCCGATGGTATAATGGTGGCTCGTGGTGATCTTGGTATTGAAATACCACCTCAGAAGGTACTGGCAAATATGTTAAGCAATACACCTTTAGAAACCGAACAAAGCCTATAAAGTAAAAAACGACTAGCTATTCCACCTTGGCACATCACACAGTAATTCAAGGTCTCCTTTCTATTAATTTAGGCATCGTTCAATAATTACTTAATAGCTGATTGGCCCATCCTCACTCATAGTGCCGACCCCAGCATAATCTCTATCTTTTGGAGATTTGCTGGTTAAGCCATTGTGGTTCGCTGGAATCCCGAGGACAGCCTGGCCAAAGTCTGCCTCAGATCTTTACCACCACGGGCAGTTGCAGGCCTTGTGGATCAGAGAGAGATTCGCCAACATGCAACTGAATCTACCACCGTCCTGGTATTGGTTTACTCTTAGCTAGGCTTCCTGATGGAAACGCCGGACTCCTTCTCAGCATGGGAGACCATGCTAGGAGGATGAATACCCTGCTCTACATTGTAGCCCGACACCCAAGAATACCTCCTAGCTACGATGAGGCGGTAGACCATTGGGAGGACTGTTCAGTAAGTTAGTGCTTTTATCTTGAGCAGCCAGGAGGTTCTCAGTAACGAAGTTTACGGAGTAAATTCTTCGTTAAAAACAGTGATGGTTTGAAAGAAGCTTTTCGCAATGTGATTGGAATTTAGGTGTTGAGCTTTTTCTGCCGCAGTTATGAAAATGATTCATTGAGTAGCTTGGTGTTAATGTGACCTTTGCATGATCTGAGGAAAGCGAAACCACCGAAATGTCAGCAGTATTGAATAGATATTATCATTAATAACCTGTTGTCTGCTCCAAAGGAAAGTACTTGCCTTTCTAACTCAAAAAACCGACTTTCTGTAAACTTTAGCAAAGATAGTAGATATATTTATTTACATGATCTTACAAGCTGATCGTCTTAAATTGGTGCGACGTTGGTTTAGGTCTTCGTTGTCGTTGCTGTTGGTGTTGTTGGTCGATGGCTGACATTTCGGCGATTTCGTCTTACTCAGACCAACAGTAGGACTCACCCGTAACAGCACGGATCTGAGGAAGGCAAAGTCTCAGAAACGTCAGTCATCAACCAACAACACCAACAGCAACGGCGACAACGGAGACCTGTACCAACCTTGCATTGGCTAAACAAGATCAGGTTATAAAATCGTAAAAAAGCTGTCGGCGTTGATCAATCCCTAAGGGATACGCCGTGCATTCGACTTTATTGAGTATCGTTGGAGGTGAATGAATGCATATCTGGCCTTTACAATGACTCGCGGTGGCCTACCGATGTATCGAGCCAGTGCTGCTATCCTCCCAGACAGGTCTGGTACCAATTTGCCGACCCCGGAGGGATGGAAGGCTTGGTGGGCCATGGAGGTAGGGACCGATTTCACCTGCGTGTCGCAGTGGCGCCTCCAGCCACTGCGCCATACGCGCCCTTTATAAAATCATATAAATAAATATATCAACTTGATTTTCTTTTTTGTCTGTCTAACTTTATTTTATTTTTTTAATCCACGCCTAGTACTGACAAATCCGTACTTTGCGTTGCCATAAACAGAAATGTCGTCTGGAGTCGCTTTGTGAAGTTACCCTATTCCTGCAGTTTTTATTCGCATCAATGCTTAATCTTAATCAAAGATTCATAGGCGGCTAAATAATGCGTGACTGATCAGGTGTTTTTCGATCTCTCCAAATAAAAATTGAACAAGCTTTCGGTAATTGGAAGTTCCCTGTTTTCATTAGTGGTCAGCTTTAAAACTGTCTAAGGTAATAATGACGAGAATCATCTCCTTTTTTGGACTGAGTGAGACCTATAAATTGGGTTCACCGTTGAACGGTTTTTTAATATTTTTTTTTCTTTGTGTTATAAAATCTAGGGTCATCATAGCAGGTCTTGCGCCTCGAAAATGTTAAAAGCGATTTCTATAAGCACAATAATATCTCCTCTCAGCAATCACTGAATGTTGAATATTATGCTCATTGCTCAGCACTTCACTGTATTCACTTATCAGCGGCTTTCAATGGGTTTTAGAAACGTACTTATTTTAGGTGTTTCTTGCACAGAAGAAGCTGATCGCCAAATGCAATCTTGCCGGTAAATCAGTGATCTGCGCCACCCAGATGCTCGAGAGCATGATCAATAAACCGCGTCCAACTAGAGCTGAATGTGGGTAGAATAGCAGTTGCCTTCTCCATCTGTGCATCCCCACTGATACCAAAATAACACAATGTAGCCTATGGATATGGTATCACTATTTATTACTTTTAATACATGACCGGAAATGACATTTGTTCCATTGTGCAGATCCCAACAGTTTTTACGTCCGATTTATTTCCGAGCATTCATCACTCATGAAGGTTTTCCAAGTGTTTGCGTGTGGGTTCGTCTGTTGCTTGTGAACTTTCGTCTTCTTTATGAATACTGGTTGAGTCGACTCCCTCTGGATCTTGAGATAGTCGTGGTAGGGCGTTTCCATACGTATTAGAGAGAGTAAGCTTCTTCGAGACAAGTCTGATACTAATTTCTCTACTAGTCAGTGCCGCGTTGGTTAGGTTGGGTCGTCGAACGGAACCATTACCACTGCTCTATCCGCTTCATGCATGTGGTATAAGTATGCATATTCTTCTCTAAACGTCTCTAAATTCTACTGCACTGCCTCGTCTTTCAGTACTGATTCCTTAATAAGGCTTACCTTTTTAGTTATTCACATATATTATTAAGCCTAATAAAACGAATATGCTTACTCTTTCCTAAGCTTTATTATGTGAGAATCCCTAGAGATCAAAACTTAATTTCTGAGTTTTCGCGGAAGAGACATATTCAGTAACTTTTATTCCGATGAAATTAAGTTCATTTACAGTACCAAAATTGTGGTCGGAAACAATATTTTTTTTCAAAAAGAAGAAGAGTCAAATTCAAACCATGGACGATTCTACTGCATCGTCATATTTGCGTTCAGTTATGAATTCATGTGAAAATTATGTAAGTTCTTATCACAAACGATTAGTGCCAATTGACGAAATACTGGTGAATGTGAGTTTTCATTGGGTTACTCGAACTTGTGCTACTCTGAGCACGCTCGGCTTTTTCTTGACGTCAAGAGCTCAGAAGCATGAATCGTTGAAGGAGGACAACCATTGAGATGTGCATTGGCAGCTGTTCATTCTCATTCAATATTTCAGAAAATTACGAGTGAGTCATTAGCAATATGGCGGCATATCTTGACAGTTCCACCAATACCCTTAACTTTAGGCACTAAATCCATCTTGTTATTCTTTTACTGGTTGAGAAATTCGTACCTTCCGTGGAGTAAAACTGGGAGTAAACGCTGGAAAATTCCAAAGGGTAGATCAGAATCTTTTCAATTTAGGCAGTGACGTCGCTAATGCCGTCTTGGACGGTGCTGATTGTGTGATGTTGTCCGCCGAAACGGCCAAAGGCGATTATCCACTGGAAGCATTGAAAATGATGCATTCGGCTTGTTACATTGGCTTTTTTGTTTTTAAATATCAATGCGTTATTTCTTGATTATGAAGTGTTAACTTAGCTGATACTGTCGGTTTAACGGCATCTGATAAAATCTGTTGGCATGGGCCGTATTCTTGAAAATGGAGCTTGTTAAAATAGAGTTAAAGAGTTATTTTTTCCTGTATTGAGTACTTATGAAGTTACGAAGAGTTATCATTGGGTTCCAGATTTGCAAGCAAGCTGAATTAGCTTTCTACTACGCAAAATACTACGAAGAAATATTGTTCAACACCAAGAGGCCAACGGATCATACTCATACCACCGCCATCGGTGCCGTCTCGGCTGCCGTTTTCTGTAAAGCGAAGGCCATAGTTCTTATAACAACTACTGGAAGGTATTTATCTTTGTATTTGTTCCAGCTATATTTATTGCCGAAATGCATGTGGCGAACGTTAAAATTAACTTTCAAAAGAAACGTGGCCGTTGCTTCTGCGCATTGCCGGCTAACTAAGCCGGTCATCTCTCCGGCGACCATATATTAGAGCCATCTTCAAGGCAGAACGTTTAGTCTCTTGCATCGAAATCTACAGAAGAATGATCTTAATATTTCAGTATGCAAACTTACATGTTGAAGGAGTATTCGGCTTCTACGCCATCCTTGAGTGATCGTTCATTTTTTAATTCCTGTTTTTAACTTTGATTTCGGTTCTAATATCGTACGCAAATTAAGCAGTAGGAAGACCGATCAAGGTAACTGTATCCAAATATGAAATCCCCTAAAATTAAAATTGTGGTGAAGATGTGAAAATACCCTTGCAAAGTTAAATAGTACTTCATGAATGACCAAACTGCCAAGCCAGCGGTAAGTTGTAAACCAGCCTCAGCACGTCACATAATGGGTGCTTCCGTCTATGACGTCGGAGTGTGGTATGACCGGTGAGAGGTCACAAAATCTCCGGTTGCGCAGGACATCATTGGAACTGGATCTGACGACACGCGACAGGCCATAGATATTCTTTTTTGCTCTGCACGTGTAATAGCAGAACGCTCTCCTCACAAACTGACCTTCATTCTCTAATTGAACCCGCAGATCGCATCAAATCCCACGTAGTAGTCTTACGAGAAAGAAAAAGCAAGAAAACCGACATGCGCCAACTAAACAACGGAACCGTTGTCATCCACGTCACGAAATTTTGGTAGCCTAGGCCTTGTCGTCCGCTTGTCCGTTGTCCATCTTGGCGACTCCTACGAGATCATTTCCCTCGCATAACCATTCTCGGTCTTTAACCAATGCGTCACTATAATCCATCACTATAATCCACTGTAACCTATAAGATCCACTATAATCCTATAAGATCACTATAATCCATTGCTGCTCAGTACCGATGCACCTAGTGAGTGTGAATTGGATGCGTTTTACTATCTGTAGAAGAAAGTTATCCACAGTGATAAGTCGTATCGTAAGTTTTTTGCTGGAGGCTTCAACGCCGAAATGGAGTAGGCCAACGAGAGTGAACACAGGGTCGGAAAATTTCCAATATGAAGAAGAATGAAAGTGGAAACCATCCTGCGGGACTCCTATTCGCAACACTCGTCCTTCATAAAAACTTATTTTTCCATAAGAAGGCAAGTCGCACTACACATGGGAGTAAGATAGGAGCACGACACATGCGGGGATCGACCACACCTTCGCAAGCAGCAGATGGCGCCTACTTGAAACATCGGTAGTTCCACCATTGCATACAGCGTTCAATCACCTCCTTCTTCACGTGAAGATTTGGCTCAGCTGTAAGCTGAAAAAGAATTCGTGGTAATATATCATTTTTGTTGACGGGTAATATTTGATAGCACCGATAGAATAAAAGCATAGCTGAGAGAAAGGCAAATCAGGGGTCTAAGCGTGGTGGTTAGTACATGAGCCTCTGGTTCGAGTGAACCTGGATTCGAGGTTCATTGAGGCTCCAAGTTTTGTACATATCTCGGTATCCCTGGTTATACATTTACTTCCTTTTTGTTTTCAGCACTGCAGTACTTTGCTCTCGCTATCGCCCTCCTGTGCCAGTGATCTCGATATCACGCAACGAACAAGTCGCCCGTCAGCTTCACCTCTACAGGAGCGTTTTTCCTCTATATTGGCCTAGTCAGTACAGTAATTTTTTTTTCTTATATAAATTTATACACCTATTAAAATCTAAATGAGTTTGTTGCAACACGTTCCTGATTAATAACATTACATTAATAACATACTTACTTGATTTGGTTGTGCAGGCCCAAGCATAATTTGTGGTTCCCTGGAATCCCGAGGTCATCCTGGTCAAAGTATGCCCCAAGTCTTCACCACCAAATGCAATCGCAGCCCTTGTGGATCAGAAGGGAATTTGATACCATGCGACTTTGATACCAGGACGGTGATGGGTCTTGGTATTGGTGTTAGTTTATTCTCAGCTAGGCTTCCTGATGGAAACGCCGGACTCTTTTTCAGCTTGGGAGACACTGCCAGAGGGTGAATCTCCCGTTGTACATCGCAATCTGACACTCAGGAACACCTCCCGACCATGATGAGGCGGTAAACCGTTGGAAGGACATTAAAATGTTAATGTAATGAAAGCAGTGATAACATAACATTAACTACTCGGTAACTCCTTTCTTATAGTAGTAATATTTTTGCAATCAATATGGACAACAATATTGCAAAATTGATCTTAAACGCGGTAGTGTGCTGTATCAATTTGTATCACTTCTGTAGGTTTCAGAACGAACGAAAAAGAATTGTATGTTGCTACGGATTTATTGTGAAAAGCGGATAGCGAACTGTTTCCCACATGATGAAATATGAGCCAAAGTGGCGATCAGATTTTGCCATTAATTTTACAGTGAGGTAACTATCCATAGAAAAGTGCATGCATTAGTTCGTAAGTATATTTCAGCCAAGACTAGTAATAGGTTGCTTTGCTAAGGATGAACTCATGATTGTCGTCAGAAGAAGTTGCAGAACATCACCACATCACGAAGGAGTAAACCTATGCCATGGCATATCCAGGCTTAATATCCGTAATTATCCTTGCGAAGAACAAAGTAGTAAGGAGCACAATGGCAACGATGGTGCTCTTCGTGCACCTCGAACAAGCAATGCCCACTGGAAGGCTCTAGTTTACCATGCAGTCGAATGAAGTACACTGATGCTTGTTTGCTTATGATTGATCAAAGAGATTACGGGTATTCAGGTATTCCATATGCTATGCAAAGCACACATCGATTTTGCGTGGGTTTCTTGGAGCTCTTAAAAGTCTGAAATGCCAGGACAAATGAGAGGCTGAGCAAAAAAAATTTCAGAAAAGTGATGAAAATCGTTGAACCACTCGCTTCTTCCTATTTTCGTTGGCCGTACTTAAAGCCTTCTCGGAAGAACAACACTAACATAGAAGTTCACGTTTTTTCAGAAGAACGTCTCGATGACTGGAAAGAAGATGTCGAGGAACGCATACATTTCGGTATCGAAGCCGGGAAAAAAAGAGGCGTGATAAAATCAGGTGATGCGCTCATTGTCGTCACCGGCTGGCACCAAGGTGAGCAAGTGAAAAAAAATGGCGAAGTGCAAAAAAGTCCATGCTTTAAAGAAATATACTCTATATTGCAGTGTATATTATCAGCCTTTCTTAAAATGTATTGTACTGCACATAAATAGTCGTTAGCTCATGTTGGTAATCACTAGGCTAATGCATCAAGTTTTGTTAATAGATAGCAAAGAAGTTAGAAATCTATATGGGTTTATGGGCCGTGTATCGCAGTGGGTTAGAGGTGTCCTGCAATACACACGTTACTGTTGCTTCATCCAGCTTTCCATCCTGGCAATGTTGACAAGTTGATAACGAACTCTCCTGGAAAATGGGAACTCTCACCTAATGTATGGATAGACCACCGGAAATGACTGTACGGGGCAAAAATCCACTCCACCACTTCAACGGTGCTGCAAACGGAATCGAATTCATGGCGAATCTCTAGGAGATCGAGCAACGCTTAACGCTTACCTACTTCATAAGAGCCCATAAAGAACTTATTCAAAACTTTCTTTCAAATATGGTGAAGCTGCGAGAGAAGAGCGAGAATCCGAAGAAGTTGTACTTTCTCCCGTGATTTCTGAACTGTTCTCGAATTTCGCCAGCATGGTGGCTATTTCTTATACCTATAGCGTTTACCCCCCCACCCAAAAAAAAAATGAAAAAATACAGCTACCCCAAAGGAAGAAGTCGTAGGATGTCAAACCAGGACTTCTAGCCGGCCGCTCGTGCGGTCCACGACATTCATCTCTCAGCAGAGTTCACATTCAGCTAATCACGAACGGTGGTAGCAAATTGTGGAGGAACATCTGGTCTGAAAATCGAATCTTCAATATTCTCCCATGTATTGCCAAGATTCCATCCTTTACCATGGTGAGGTAGCTTTACACATCCATGGGATAACGAAGAATGAAAGGTGTCACAATTTTGTCCGAAGTTATTCTACACCATTACCATTAGCAGATTCCATATTTTTTGAGAAAAATGCGAAATTCTTTTTCGGTCCAGTATTAGCATTTGTGACAACTTACAAAGAATATGTGGAATACCGTTTCATCACTCCAGAGGACACTTCTAAAGAGAAAAGAAATGATTGCTCAAAAATTCAAAATTTGAAGAGAATACTAAAATGAGTGGGACCAAAAAGGAAATAACAGCATCATAGATTTAATTCTAACAATTTATGGATCGTGCACAAAAAATCCTGCGAAGAATATCACAATACATTAATAACCATTTAAAGGGCGCATGTGGCGCAGTAGTCGGAGCCCCGCGGCACGCACGTGGAATCGATCCCGGCGTCTCTGGCCTACCAAGCTTTCCATCTCATCAGCAAGGTGGTATCAAATCTGTCTGGGAGGACAGCAGCACTGGCTCGATATATCGGTAGGCCGCTGCGTGTCATTGTAGTAAAGGCCAGATATGCATTCGATCACCTCCAAACGATGCTCAATGATGTCGAATGGATGGCGCACCCTCAGGGATGGATCAACGCCGAGAGCTTTGTCCTTTATTTATTTCTAAGTATTTAAAGATAGAGAATTACTTTTTAATCATTTTGTATATAAATTAATAAGCTGGAAATGAATTTGGTGCGGCATAAGTATCATTCCCAAAATCGAATAAAAGCGACAAAATCACATAAGACTTTCCTTGAAGAGCGGAGTTTTCTTTTTTACCTTGGAATGGGGCAGTGTTTACTGACATCTTTTTTCTAACAAATGATTACCTTAAGGGTTACTCCAATGTAAGCAGCACTATCCATTTGCCGATTTTTGTCTATCGCAACTCATAAAGATCGCTGGAAATCCGCTATAATCCACAAAAAACTAAAAGTAACACGATAGAGCTCGAGATGTTGGCCCGTTGAAGTCTGCGGCCTGATCGTTTGGCAGTTTGCACAGCACGGCGCTTTTTCTTAGCGGTACTGCTCCCTCTGTTGTCAAGTGCTTTTTTATCACTTGTGAATCGTACACGATCGGTAACACAGCTTCCTTGAAAATTTTCGGCATGCCACAGAAGGAGTTTTGTATTTGCAGGTGCCGGATTCAGCAACACAATTCAAGTGGTGCGTGCCACTTAAATCAGACTATCGTCGGTATGATGTCCGGCTGCTTAATGTTATCATTTGCGAACGTGAAAAGAGGTTACTTTAACGACTACACTTTGTAGGCTATTCATAGACTGAATGCTCATGATTATTATGACAGTAATAGATAGACCGGAGAAATTTGTCTGTCTCAACTATTTATCGAGATTTAGAGCATGAAATTAATACCTTTCAAAAACAAAAAATGAAAAGTTAGTTATCATTGCAACGGTTGGATTCGTGCCTCCGACTAATTAGAACTTGTTTTAATCGCGGTTCTTGATTCAAAGCCTTCTAAAAGTCTTTTTACTACTTACAGAAGTGAGTCAAAAGATCCATCTCCTCTGTAAATTGTAATAACCTTACTGTAGCTCAGAATTCTTCCAAAGTTACTGTAATATTCTGCGACGAAGAATATGGTGGTTATTTTTGTTGCACGGATATCGACACCCATTTGTCTAAATGGCACTCATTTATCACTGCCAAAGAGAACTTTCTCTTTCTTTGCCTGTTGCTTTTCTCCGATTTTTCATTGCCAACTGCAAGTGTAGCTATCGTTGCTGCTTGGAGAATGTATTTTTTTTACTACTTCTTGCCCCTAGTGTTTCATGCATAACAATTTCCCAATCGATATTGAAGTATAAAGCACCTTTTAGCCATCTTAAACCTGTTATTGTATTCTTCTTAGTGTTTATACTTTTCACATATGATTTCCTTCAACCTTTCTTACAGTCTGAAATGTCTATAACATACTAGAGAATAAATCTGAAAGTGAAATCCTGAATTTTTCAGGGGAAATCATTCTATGTTTGGAAATTTCATGAAACATCCACCATCACCTTATATACAAATTGAGTGCACCATTTATGAGCTTGTGCTATCAATTTTTTCAAAGCACCACCTAAGCAGTTTACACATATGCCGGCAAAGCTTCACGTTGACTTCAGCGAATGCGAAAGTGGCTTGGTGAGTGTCCCTTCTTGTGGAGCTCGAATAGCGCTAGAGAAGCGCTGGAAAAGCTTAAGCTTCCAAAATTACTCGAAAACCATAGCTGTACAGGGCCTTCATGAAGGATCTAGCCATCGAGTGATTTCTTCAAATTTGACTTCGATATCATGCCACCATGAACCAATTTCGCCGATGCTTCATGGTAATCATAGGACAGAATTTCGCATTCCCTTTCTCGCTTCCGTGACAAGGCATAGCGGTATTCTCACTCGTAACATCACTGCTCTGAAGAAGGCGAATTCACCGAAACGTCAGCCATCAACCAACAACACCAACAACAACGACTACGACAATGGAGACCTATACCAACCTTGCAGCAGCCAAAGAAAATCAGTTTATAATATCATATAAATAAATATGTTCGGTAAAAAGTTGTGGAGTCAAGGCGAGTTCGGAACAAAGCATTCTTCATCTCATTCACCACAGTTTTAGTGCTCTTGAACCACCTATCCACATGGCCAACGAAGACCTATATCAACCTCGCATCAGCTGTGAAACAGTTTATTAATCTTCTTCCAAATCTAGAGATGCGCAGATTGAGCATTACAAGATATTCAACTTCTTTTCTAGCTAAAGGCATCGTTGGGATCTAATCCTTTGCCCAACCTTCATAAAGACCGTTGATTCCACACAATCCATTGAAATAGAGTACCCTTCATTCTAGCTTGCTATGGTGACAACTGGCTTTAATAAAGGCGATCGTACCTCAGAAAGACGACAGTAGTATAGCTAGGAGCTATTTGCTTTCACTCTCATGCTAAGACATTGCAATCTTCTTATGACGTCATGAAAATAGCCATAAAAAAAATTTTGGAATTAAAGGTTGTTGAATTGCTCTTTCCATGTCCCTGAAAATGATGTTGAAGAATAGTCAGATTATTGATTATGAAGACGTTGCACAGCTCATGAATGGCTTTCCACTGAGGTAAAACACCATGATGTTCAGATCTTCCATGACTGCCCAAGTGTCGGCTGAATCAGAGGTCTTTTTCAATTCGATGAAAGTAAGACGAGGCGGTTCTCTGTATTGCGATACTTCAGTAATATGACACAGTGTTGAATGCCGTTCGATACTCTGCGTGCACAAATGTCTGCCTTTCGACAAATGTTCTATTAATCCTTTCGAGAATGAAGTGAGTGAGGATCTTGTAGACAATAGATTCGACAACTGTCTCTAAAGGCAACTTATAAGCCTTCAGTGATTTGATAAAAGCGTCTCTGGTTTTCTGCTATGAAAGGGGATAGCATTCTGACAAGTAGACTGTCAAGTCTGGGAATATGTTGTCGTAGAGTGTAGGACATAGGTTCTTTAGGTGTTCAAAAGTGGTCCTGAAGGAATCGTGAGCTGCAACAGTTATCATTAACGCATGTCGAACTTCAAAATAGAGAACCCTTTTGGCATGATATATAGATTTCTCTTGAAATGATATGTTAGAAAGTACACGCCGTTGATGGAAAATAGGAATATGTTTATTGAGCGGTTCTATTCCTGGCCTGTCCAGTTTAGGTCAGCAGATCTGTTGTTCTGTTCTTATCATCTTCTATCATTTCACTACAAAACGGATGTCCGAATTTATGGTAATAGGTGCCTCGGCTGCTTTCAGCTTCGTGTTCGCACAGAATTTTCTCCATGTCTTTAAAATGGTTGGGACTTGTAGCATTCTGATGAGTGCTGGATGAGCACATATTACTTCATTTCATTCGAGCGGTGCCCCCTAAGGAAGATTAGTCTTGATACTACGAAGAAACCACAAGGCGAGAACGAACAAACGCGGGCTATCATCGGCGTAGACTCGTATCGTCGACTGAAGAAGACGAAGATATCAAACGTTAGCCGCATAAAGGATATGTAACAACTTCGTGTAAGCTGAACAGTGAAAGCGAATATATGGAGCCCATTCTAATTCTACACGATGTTATCGCTATACGGCTTCTATCAAAAAATAGGTCTAAAGTAGAATATTACATGAATTTTCTCTAATGTTGCGTGTTTCTAAGCAAACTAAGCGGTTCCCCATCCTCCACTTTCAT